TGTTGTCTTACTGCAACCCACCCTCTTCTGTTCTTTCTAATCTTGTTAGCCTTGCCTACATGAGGTATAGGTATATTGTTGTTGTGTTTGTCATTCATTCATTCATTCATTCTGTACAACTGAATTTTGTCTTCAATAAACTATAACTTTAGCACAGCGTATTCCAAGCTCCTAAATTTTTTTTGGCCTTGAAAAGTCTTGCTTAACTGTTTTGTGTTGCTCAAATACAAGTGCTAGGTACAGAAGCTTCAAAGTAAAAAAATTGAGTAGTTAGCCAAGTCCCAATGTGTTGGCACTTTAGAGATAGCTGGTAACATTTTCCAGTAGATTACAACATGGCCTTCAAAAAATATGAACATAACTCTTTAAATCTTACTTAATGAAGAGTTGTACTTATTTGAATTTGTCCTGGTCACTAGTTTGTGAAGTGCTCAGAGCAACAACCTACTGGGCTGAGTACTAAAGTACCTGTACTATCTCAAATACATAAAGGTAACAACTTTCTGTCAGCAAGTTTATCATATATTGTTGATTAGTAAAGAAAAAGTTAAGCTTCTTTCTCACATGGCCTTCTTGCTGCCATCATTGCAGTAGTCTCACTGGCCAGCCGGTCTGGCCAGAGAGACTATCATTGCAGTTGATGATGTAATGCCACACCTTTCAACCTCCATGCATGGGAGGAGCTGGAGCTGCTTGCATATGTATGTGCTGCTACTTCTGCAGGTATTCAAGAGCAATTGCAACTGCAGGAAGCTATATGTTGCAACAGACTCTCTTCATGCCTAAGCTTTTTAATGTTGATAATCAAACAGCTATTGCAGTGAGGCCACGCACCATAGGTGCCTCGTAGTATTATGTTTTAGTTTTCATATATTTTTGACTAATTCTCTCTCTTTAGTGTATCAGACGTTTCTTAGATCGTGTATGGAGTTCTGCTAGTGTTGAAGATTTGGATGATCCACCTGCCATAACAAAAGAACACATGTCTTCCTCTCCTCCTTCCCTGGCCCAGTTTACAGGCAGTGACAATTCCATCATTTTTATTACACTAAACAAGGATGGAGGGACTAGTCTTGGATTCTCCATAGCTGGAGGGAAAGGCATGCTCATTTTAATTTAGGACAGCTGCAGTATTAATGATCATTAGCTTTGTACATGTACAGTGTATTCTCTTTGTATATAACAGACACTTTGGTACAAGAAAGCTAATGTCTGGTATACAGAGGTGTTCTTTATGTGGAGGGCATAGAATATTATTTATAGCCTTTAAATATTATTGTTATTATTATTGTTATAGTTATTATAGTTTATTAATGTAAACTGCATGTAATATTAATAATACGCCAATGAGAGATTTATTGTAAATAATTATTGTATAGCTACTTTATGGATTGTAGTATGGATTGAAGCTATATTTTAAAATATGGTGTAAATATTATGTGAATGGTATACCATATAGTGGGTATATTTCGTCTGGAAAAATGTTCATTCTAAGCAGGATTAGAAATTTTCGTTCGTTTTATTTTTGTTCTGAGCAGCCATTTCACACACGTGGCATTGAAGAAATGCCCTTTTCGTTTGGAAAATGTTCGTTCCACTAGGAATGAGAACGAAAAGAATGAAATTAAACTCAAACGGAATATACCCGCTATACGGTATTGTTTTACATGCATGTATATAGGGAATCAACATGTTCTTGATGATAATGGAGTATTTGTTACAAAGATAGCCAAAGGGGGTGCAGCTGACAAGCATGGACAGCTTGAGGTTGGTGACCGGCTTTTAGAGGTGAATGGGCAAAATTTGGCGGAGATTGACTACGAAGATGCTGTAGCCATTTTGAAAGCAACAGGACAAGAAGTGACGCTTAAAATAGAAAAGAATTCACTGCCACAAGATATAACTGTCACCTCTGACAAGGGAAAGGTGAGAAAGAGAGAGAGAGAGTGTTTTATGGAACTCTCTATGCTATATTGTCAATGCAAGCCTGACCTTTGTGTAGCCTTGGCTTTACATGTATATTTTGTAAATTGCAAATCAAAATTAATTAAGTGTTAACCATATAAAATTTTTTATTATCTGTGTATTCATTTTTCAAAACGTATAGTTGATGAAATGTATATATGTCAAAGTTAAATTTTTTTTATAGAGATTTTAATTTGGGGGGAAATAGTCTTGCCATGCATGGTGAGACAATAGGGAGAAGTACAATTTTATTTAATGATGCCATATATTTATGGTAAAATTATTATAGGGCAATTTTTCTTCTTTTAATGTTCTTGTTTTTGTCAATTAATCATGGAGTGTTGGGATTATTTTATAGCACTTTAAGTAATTATAAACTTTTTTGGGGGAGATGTTGAGTTTGGGGTAAAACCTTCCTCCCTTACCCCCCCCCCCCCCAGTAGATAAAACCCTGCATGTACCCATAAAAATAAACATGGCAGAGCTGTGTTGTTGTACATGTGTGTTTGTGTGCATGTGCAAATAAGCTGCTTTTTTATTTGCTTCAGGCTAAAGTCTTTTCTCTCCTCTAGGCTTTGGCTAACAAAGAACTCATTGATAAACCTCGTATCATAACCCTCAACAGACCGGAGGGAGAGGGGCTTGGTTTTAACATAATTGGAGGTGAGGAGGGAGTTGGCATTTTTATTAGTGTGATTTCAAAAGAGGGTGTGGCTGCCAGAAACGGTCAATTACGAGTTGGAGACATGATCCTAGAGGTAAGGTTTTGTTGTGAGTGGGGCTGGTTTACAGTTTTTGTGATGACAGGTGAACGGAAATAATTTGGAGATGTGGTCACATGACATTGTGGCTCAAGTTTTGAAGGGAGCTAGAGATACTATCACTCTCAAAGTGGTTTACAAGCCAGATGGTAAGTTGTATGATTTTATTGGTCTTAGCAATAGCAAGTCCTTCATCTTAATTTTTACGACCAGGGGCATGTGATGTATATATAATTAATGTCACACTCTTAATTTCCCACACTTGGCTGCAATTAGTTTGGAGCTTTTTAGAAAAAAGATAGTACATGTATCTATATCTAAGAGGAACTGTAATGGGCATGTAAAGTGATGAAATCAATCATAGGAATTTTTACAGTAATACTGTACTCTTGTTTAGAGTTTGAAAATTTTTGTCGAAAAATGGACATAAAACCAAAAGAGGATGAGACTTCTTATGTCAGGTAGGAATAATTATACATACATGTATTGTAGGTGGCTCTTTAAATTCTTTTTTCATTCTATGTGCATGTTGCAAACACTTGCAAATTGCAGTTCAAAATACACAAATTTTATATGGTTGCTCCATAAAAATATTAAATAAAAATACAGTGCTTTAAAGAGCAATAAGAGTGCTATCGTACTTGAAATTATCATGACCCTGCCCATTATTAATGAGTAATTTTTGAAAATGACAGTATAGCGGAAAATTTTTGTGGCCCAAAAATTTTGCAGGTCCATTCAAGAATCAATTTCGTGGCTTTAATTTTCATGTTTTAATTTTCATGTTTTTCTACTTTTCGGCCATCTTGAACTGTATTGAATCGATTTTGTGGATTTTATTTTTGTGAATTTTGAAAAAATGCAAAATCCACAAAAATTTTGGGCCATGAAAATTCTTTGCTATACGGTATTTTAGCACTGTAAAAAGAGGCGTTGCCCAAATTATTGCATGCTTCATATCCTTTTACATGCTTTTTAGCATTTTCCTTTTCCCATTCTTGATTACACCCCTGTATACTGAGCATAGTGTACAGTGAGCATATTAGTACAATTACATGTGTACACACTTGGATATGTGTATACTTGTATTGTATGCTGTGTAATATAGTTGATTATTTTTGGGGTGAGCCTAAGTGAGCCCAACTAAAATGAGAAAAGTCTGTCTGTACATACGTATAGTATTCTAAATATTCACCACAATCGCCACAATCTGTAATAATAATGTAGAAACAGTTTGTTTAGTTGTTTAGAAGAGTGAGAAACTTAGAGAAGTAATGAAAAGATGCACAGTACTACAGTCAGATGAATGATTATTGCACTGTGGGTGAAAAACCCCAAGACATTATACATGTATTCCATTCATGTTTCATTATCTTCATGTACATATGTTTACACTTTAGTCAAATGTCAGCTGATGTTGCCAGTTTGAAAAAATTGAATGAAACATTGTCAACTGCTCGAGATCGGTTACAAAAAGAAAGAGATCAGGAATTAGCAAAGAACAATGAATTGAAGAATGAAATTACAGCGCTGAGAAAAGCTTACACTGAAATACTTAAGAAAAGAGATGATTTACAGCAAAGTTTAGCTCAATCATCAGCAGAAAAGGGCAGCCTGATAGATCAGGTAAGGGAACTGGAAGAGAAAGTCAAGGAATTAGAGAATAACTGGAAGGTCAGTTACAAGGATGTCACTCTATCTCGTCACAAGCTAGGCAGTGGAGGCTGGGGTGAAGTTATAATTGGGAAATTCCGTGGACAGAAAGTTGCAGTGAAGCGGTTTCATGATGCTATAATGAATCAAGAGAATAATCAGTATTACCTTGAAATGCTCAATCGTGAGATAAACACAATGTCTCAGCTACGTCATCCTAATCTCCTCCAGTTTATAGGAGCTGTATTAGACCATCCATCAGGTAATCCTATGATTATCACTGAAGTAATGGATACCTCATTACGCAGTGCCTATGAGAAGAAAGAGCTGACCCCTGACCTTGCTTGCAGGCCAGTGATTCTTTCTATAATGCGTGATGTAGCCGTTGGTTTAAACTACCTACACTGTCTACCTGATCCTATTATTCATCGTGATGTCAGCAGTGCTAATGTACTCCTTGAATCAAAGGGCCCTGGAAAATGGAAGACAAAGATATCTGACTTTGGGTCAGCAAAAATGGCCCGTTTTGCTACTACAAAAGCAGCGGGAGCCATGGTTTACAGTGCACCTGAGTGCCTCCAGACTGTGGTGGACTTTGAAGAGTCTAAGCAATCACCTAAAGCTGATGTCTTCAGTTATGGGATATTGCTATGTGAAGTAATAACTTGTCGCTTTCCTGAGCATCACATATTTCGTGTCTTATTAGATCAAGTTCGTTCATCTGGGAGCTCTTTACATTCTCTTGTTGTATCATGCGCTACTAAAGATCCTGAGAAACGACCAACAATGAAGCAAATCATTGAACAACTGGATCGTATTTGAGCATATTGGTAAAATACTTCATTTTTATTTTTTATCTTTTATGTATTTTATTTTGTTTTCTACATTTAGTTTTTAACTTGGCTCATAGCTACATGTACTTTTCACTATTACAATATTATTTTTTAAAATAAAAAGTTCACAAAACAATTTACACAAACAATGACATGTATTGCTAATTATGATTAAAATAATAATAATTACTATAAAGATGTGAACCATAAAGGCACTATAATAATATGGTTTTTAACTTCTCAACTGTGCTAATCTTTGAGACATTTCATCTTCTTCTTCTTCCTCTGATTCCTGATCAGCTACTGCTGGAGTTGTCTATGGACACAAAAAGAACCATCATTACATGTAGTATGAGATTGAGCTTGAATTTATAATTACTAAACATACTTCAAAATAAAAATATAATTGAATGTACTTCAAAGCAAAAAACTTTCAGCCAATTACAAAAATATAGTCTACAGTTACATTTACATTAAACATTTAAACTTACATCTTCCAGTCCTCCAGTAGCTACCTTTGCCTCACCAAGTTTACCTACAAAAGTACATTCAACGTAATGCAATGACCTCATGTAGATTATGTGTATGTAAACTAATGTGCATAAAGTAAAGTCATTTCTAACCCTGAGTCACTTCAAGAAGAACTTTCTCAATTTCTTCATCAGCTAAATCATCTACGTCATCATCTTCCAGTCCTTCCAGCGTGTCCTCCATCATTTCTTCAATTAAACCAGCCTATGTGGCATATGAATAATTATCATCAATAAAACTATGCTTTAACTGTACAGTATTATTTGCATTACTTACTCTTGCCATTTCTTTGCTCAGGTCCATCATTGCTGCCCTTATCTCTGGAAGTTTTACCAAGTCATTCATTGCATGCATTACATCAGTGCTCTTTGATATGGCACCAGCCATACGCATTGTAGCTACATTACAATAAAATTATTATAAAATAATTGCATTTAAATGAATGAATAAATGAATACTGTTATCATCCAAAATTTTACAATAAGTTGTATTACATATGACATTTAATGATAAGTTTGAATATTCTCAATCAATGTATGTATCTATAGCTTACCAAGTTGATTCTGCATTTGCATTACAACAGAGTTCATTTGTGCCTTTGATGCGTATAATTTACTGACGGCTTTTCTTGAGTGTACTAGTTCTTTGGCTAGTATCTTACAGACGTCAGTTTGGCCTTTCTTTGCAGCGTCTCTGATGGACTTTTTAACCTTCATCTCTTCAGTTTGGATCGCTTTTATTGAAAAACAATTGGCAAGGTAAGAGCACAGTGTTAAAAATAGTAATAAAATTAATCAATTAATGGCATCATTGATTAAAATGGGCATTGTTTATTGTTTATCATAATTTATTACATTACATAAATAATAGGGGATTATTTTATCATCAATTCTATGATACTTTTGGTGGTGGTAATTGGTCAAAAATTTTGCTAAATTAGTGTTGAATATTCTCACATCTTATTTGCCTGTCAATAACTCTTTGTTCTTTTCTCATTTTTGAACGCCAATCTCTAACCTAAAATAAAAAATAACTCAAAACAATTTTCAGCTCAGCATTATGTATATATAATACAAAATTGGGACAAATCAGGGTTCCTTTAACATTATCAACATAACTTTCTCTAATACATTAAACACAGGTACTGAATGACCCAATACAAGTGCAACATGAACTACTATACCTGTATATACTAATATTTGGTACTTACTTGTTCCTTGGGGTCTGGTTTCTTGCCTAATAGTGGCATTGTTGTAAAATTATTTCACTTATTTGCTGGAGCTGCTTCGTCACTTATTATTGGGCAACGCCCATATTGGGCGGGATATAAACACGCCCACGAACACAGAGCTCACGTGATGTCATGTGACAGTAGAGGAAGGGTCCGAAGCAGTTATACTCATTGCAGAACATAAGGTAATTCCTTCTACATTACAGCAATACTTTATCATACTCAGAATCCTCTCTCATTGCTAGCTGTTATACTGCTAATGAGAGCAAGGACGCTGTTTGATTCTTAATAGAGACACACTCTGCCAGTCAGTTCTCTCTCCTCCCAGACCACACCCAGAGCCTCGACCTTACTCATCATTAATAATGGCCACTGATTCAGTTGATGTTGTTGTCTCTGGAGAGGGAGAAGGAGGAGCTGCTCCTGCTCCACCAGTTACTGATGAGGTTTTTGCTGATTCTGAACCGTCTCTCTCTGGCCCACTAGATACAACTGAGAAGAGGTAGGGAAGACTTTTGCCTAATGTGTACTAGAATATAATGAGTATTATTAAGTTAATGTATGAGTTATCATCATAAATGTGAACATAATTATTTACTGATGTATGGCGATACATCTTTATGCACATTATGTAGTGCTTTGATGCTGATGTAAATTTCTTGATATTGTATTATTGTAATTAATGTACAACTATTAATAATTTTGATTTTGATATTATTGATACTGTTTTGCTATAATGTCACTTATTAACACTTATTTATACATTTAATCTGCTAGTGTACACATGTACATGTACACGTATTATTGATATCATCTTTCTCTCTCTCTTTTAGTGTTGAGCTCTCAACATTCTCTACTAGTTACAGATCGAATGTTTCTACAGCAACTGAAGGAGGAGTATCATTTGTCGTTACAGATGAAACTAATCCCACGTGGCAGTCGTCGCGTTTTAATTTTGTCCTTCCATTGTCCACCTCAATTGATAGTCTTCATATTACTGTAGCTGATCATGCTAGTAAGATGATCATGTGTGTACATGTATTGTCACTTGCTCCATCTATTTCTCACTGACACACACACACACACACACACACATACATGTACATTATTTTTGATCTGATTTATTTACACGTACACTCATTCATCTCTTTATCTCCACTAGGCTATGTTAACGATTCATTTTTGTTAATATGGCGTCGTCAGAGTGAGGAAGGTGAAGAGGAGATTCCATTGGATCATTGCTCAACTGCTACTCTCCTTGAGATGGGAATGGCCGAGGAACCGAAGAAAACATACTTACTGATAAGAGTGAAGGATGATATGCAACCAACTAGAGTTGGAAATGTAATACACATGCTCTACTAATGATTAAACTTCTCTTTTAAACACTCTTTTATTTATCTCCTCCAGGAAAATATAACTTCCGAAGCTGAAAGAGAGGCCTCAACAGGTCAAGTCTCTACTCAAATCACTGGTGCCTCCTCCTCGTCCAGCGGTTGGTCCTCATACACTAACCCAATCTACAATAGCAACACTTATGGATCGGGAGGTAACACGTCCAACTACTCCTCGTCAAGTGGATACGGGTCTTACAGCTACAGTTATAACGCTAAATCTGAGACTGGTGAGCGTAATATCAGATTTCTAGTCAATATAATTATCATTATTCAATATATTATCATTAAATTATTGATTGTATATATTTAATTAATTTTATACTCATGTCACATGTATCTTTGTTGCTCTATAATTATTAGGTTTTGTGGGGCTGGTAAATCAGGCCATGACCTGTTATTTAAACAGTTTGCTCCAGACACTCTACATGACTCCAGAGTTTAGGAATGCTTTGTACCAGTGGAGGTTTGAGTCAAAGGCAGAGTCGGAGGATCAAGCAGTCGTTGAGGCAACCAAGTGCATCCCTTACCAGCTACAGCGTCTCTTTTTACAACTCCAGGTAAGCTTTATGGTGGGGCTGATCGATTAGTGTGGGTTTTTTTAGACGGCAAAAAAGAGGGCAGTGGAGACTACTGATGTGACCAAGAGCTTTGGATGGGACAGCAGTGAAGGTCAGTATGTACATGTATCTTGTTTACATTTTTAATTATTGCCTCTTTGTAATTTTTTATAATCTTTCATATTCTCCCCCCCCCCCTCTCTCTCTCTCTCTCTTAGCTTGGCAGCAGCATGACGTTCAGGAATTGTGTCGTGTCATGTTTGATGCTTTAGAGAAAAGGTTTAAAAAGGATCAGACACAACAAGACAAGCCAACGGATAAACCAGCAGCTAATGAAGGAGAGAAGGAGGGAGAGGGAGAAGGAGGGAAAGAAGGAGAGGAAGAACAAGGAGGAGAGGGTAGTGAAAATATTGATGGCTCTAGTTCATCTCAAGCTGAGGGTGAGACACCAAAAGCAAGAGATGTGAGGGTAAGTTACAACACTTTTGCATTTTTCTTGTCGTCTTTACTTAGTTATTTTACAACCTTGGGCAAAGCCCCAGGCCCTTCCTAAGGTTTTCTTCACTCACGTGTGAATTATAAAATTTTATGTCATACTTACTTTTTCTATGCACGTTTAAAATTAAGACACCTTAGCAATTAATCAACCTGCGCTGCCCGACCCCCTCCCCATGTTACGTGAGTATGGCCACAGCAGACAAAATAGTGGCTTTCAAGGTGGAGCAACGTTCGGAGCTTTCTAGCAGCAAGATAGCTCAAGATACCGTCTAAAGAAGCATTAGTAGAGAGAACCTCTATAAGTCTTAATAAGATCATCAGGTATGCATGCAAGGCAGTGAAAACAATCTTGGGATTATATTTACAATATAATACTATTCTTGTTTCCTTTATAATTACTGCATGTACAATTGTAATTATAATACAATTTTGGTAACTGAAAATGCAATTTATTGATTCCAAAACTGTGTTTATGTATCATATCTCACTACAGAATAATAGTAGTGCTAGGAAGTGAGCCATAACGTGTCTCTGTTTTTTTGTAAAAATTGTGTATATTTAGTTTCATTATATCAGTGTTTGTATTTCACTTTGATCAGTTGTTATTCTGGTGTGCATGATTGTATATGTTAGTAAACTTAAGCTGTAGTGATATCTTGAACTCTCATCTTTCTGTCTATATGTATATGCATGTCCTTTTTATCACTCTCTCTCCCCTCTCTCTTTCCTTAGGTTGATCTGATTAATGATTTATATCAAGGGAAATGCAAAGATTATGTAAAGTGTAAAGAAGTGAGTCATTTTGTGCACTCTATACTGAAGAGTGTACCATAATTTTCATTGTACAGTGCATACATTAATGCTATGTAGTACATGTACAATAATATTCATTGTCTTTCTCTTTTAGTGTGGATATGAAAGTGCTCGTGAAGACATATTTCTTGATATTCCTCTTGTCATAAAACCTTTCGGACGCTCTGAGACTTATGGAAGTGTTGAAGAAGCAATGAAGGCATTTGTTGAACCAGAAACTCTTGAAGGAGACAACCAGGTACTACATGTATACTGTACATGTACATGTATTTGATATTTATCTCTTTTTTAATTTTTCTCCATTCTTACTATGTTTCTTTCTCTTTTCCATTATATTCTTTTTATTTTCTCTTTAGTATCACTGTACTAAATGCAATACCAAGCGAGATGCTCTTAAGGTTTGAATTAACTTGTAGTCCTGGTTTAGCGTAACATGTACAATGTACTTACCTGCTGAGAGCTTAGGTTTTAGAGCTTTGTATGTGATTCTGTTTCAGTGCTGGTTTAGTTGAAACTAATTGAGTGTATAGTACATGTACATATTTGTTTATAGAGCTAGTTTATGATTCTCTTTCAGGACATCCTTATAGCATGTACTACCTGCTTTAGTTTGAATCCAATTATAGATACATGAAAATGCGTTGCATTTGATCAATTATATCAAAAAAGTTTTGATATTACTTTTGCATTATTTTTTTAACTTAGAATTGTAAGTGCATCACCATTCGTGTAATAAAGGATAGGGAAAACATTCCCCCTAGCTTTAGCTATAGTCTCTCCACATCACATGCATTCAATTTATTTCATTAGCACCACTATTATACCTCCCAAAAATAATAAGATATTGATTTCCCCTTTGTTAAAATCTTGATAGCCAATTTTTGGGAAACTTTAATGTTTAAAAATTCAATTTTTATTGGAATCAGCTAAAAGTTTCTATGCAACATATGCTGTATGTATCAGGAAAAAATTATAAATTTTAATGCATAATTCTCTACTTTTCAATTTTGGTAAAAATTTGAACAAAGTCCCTGTACAGGGACTTTGGCCAGATTTTTTAGCAAATTTAAAAATTCATAAAAAATCTAAATTTGATCGGAATCAGTTCAAACTTTCTACGCAACATAAGCACATGTATATGTATCAGGAAAAATTATAAAAATGTCGAATTCTCTACTTTTCAATTTTGGCAAAATTTGACCAAAGTCCCTGTACTATAGTACAGGGACTTTGGCCTGATTTTTTAACAGCTTTAAAAATTCATAAAAAATCTAAATTTGATCGGAATCAGTTCAAATTTTCTATGCAACATAAGTACATGTATATGTATCAGGAAGAATTATTAAAATGTCAATTTCTGTGCTTTTCAATTTTGGCGAAATTTAACCGAAATCCCTGTACTATAATACAGGGACTTTGGCCTGATTTTTTTGGCAAATTTAAAAATTCATAAAAAATCTAAATTTGATCGGAATCAGTTCAAACTTTCTACACAACATAAGTACATGTATATATATTAGAAAAAATTATTAAAATGTCAAATTCTCTACTTTTCAATTTTGGCAAAATTTGACTAAAGTCCCTGTACTAAACTAAAAAGCACAGGGACTTACTTAGGCCCAATTTTGAAGCAACTATAAAAAACCAGTTTTTGAATCAGCTCAAAATCCTCAAATTATATCATTGATTTGCCCCGTGCCTTAATTATACTCAAAATCCTCATCAATTAATTTTACAATCAAAATACTTGTTACTATTACGTTAATTGCTACTACTATACTACACTATAGATCTACATGTACTTGTAGCATTATTGCTATTACTCTATTCTCTCAATATTTGTGAACGATTCTTCCTCTTTGTTTCTTTCAGGGTCTTAAATTCAAGCAGTTCCCATACCTCCTCACTCTTCAACTCAAAAGATTTGATTTTGACTACACCACAATGCACCGTATCAAACTGAATGACAGGTGAGAGTGGGCGGAGTCAATACTTCAAACTAACCACGCCTCCTTTAGGATGACATTCCCCAAGGTTCTTGATCTGAATGATTTCATTGATGAAGATGATAGAGTATGTTAATTATCATTTACTACTCAAGTGCTTCTTGTTCTTTATAGCCTTCAGTTCCTAATGATGTTCCTGAAAAGTATAAGACTTTTGTGGTAGAGCGTTTTGACAGACCTCATGACCAGCCTCCATCTTACTCCTCCATCACCTCCTCCACCCTTCCTTCATATTCTCAAGCGTATGTACTGCCCTTAACTTTAGTTCAATTCCTAGTGTACCAAATCTACCAATTACATTTTTTACTGCATAATCCCAAGTCCCAACATAAACTACACGTACACCTCTCTACAACAGACAAACTTTTGTGTCTGAAAGTGTTTGTTATAAAGTATTAGATGTAGAGTATATATTAATTATAATTACGAATACTTTGTGAATTACTGTAATGTGTATAATTAGTTTCATGTGTATATTGCATGTACATGTCTACATGTAGTACTGGTGGTTCTAATAAAGCTGATGAACCTGATGAAACTGATGTAGCTGAGAAAGGAGATAGACCAAAGCCTCCTGATGTTGCCAGCATGTTATCTCATGTTAGTAATTTTTTTCTCTCTCTCTCCTTTTGAGATTGACTTGTTCTCTTTCTTTTCTCTCATATACAATACATCTGTAAATGTAGGGTCCTTATGTCTATGAGTTATTCTCAATCATGATTCATTCAGGGAGTGCTATTGGTGGACATTACTATGCATACATTAAGTAAGTTATTATTATTATTTATTATTATTATTATTATTATTATTATTGTGTATTGTTATTGTTTGTAGGTCTTTCAAGGATAAGAGGTGGTATTGTTTCAATGATCAGAGTGTGACCAGGGTAAAGTATAGCTGCATGATTAATATACATGTACATGTACATATACATGTACTTTCATACATGTTCATATACAGCTATATCTACAACTACTTCTTTATCCTCACACTCTCTCTCTCTTAATAGATAACTCAAGAGGAGATAGAGCAGACGTTTGGTGGTTCAGACCGCTCATCATCAAGAGGCTACTATTCCTCAATGTACAGCTACTCTGCTAATGCATACATGTTGATGTACAGAAGAATTGATACCAATGAAAATGCAGGTATACTACTGTAATGTAGCTTACAATTTTTTAAAATGGCCTACAAAAATTTGTATGGTTAGCCTTGTGGTGAGGAATTTTTATTTTATTTTTTCTAGATTTTTTGCAGGATGACCAGTTCCCTGATCACTTGAAGAAACAGATTGAGGATGACAAGGAGAGAGAGGCCAATGAGAAGAAGAAGCAAGAGATGGAGAAACAGATGTGCAAAGTAGGTTTATAAGGAGTGCTCCTACATGTAGATTGTATGTACATTTCATTTTTTGTACATGTAGTTTAAGTTATTTTGTGTTCATCCTGTTACTGGCAAAATGATTGAGTCAAGATTTGAAATACACCAGGATACTAAACTACCCCAAGCACTGGCTGAAGCTTATAAGGTTTGACTCAAATATGTTTTAGACTTCTCCTAATTTCTTTCCCTTTATTTTTCTTTTTTCTCTTTATCAGACAATGAAACTAGCTCCTCATATTCCTATTGAGAGATGTCGTTTGGTTAAATATGATGATTATTCTGAAACAATGGATCAATCCTTTGATCTTGATGAGGTGGGTGTGGTTCATTCTATTATTATTAATTATTAGTTTTTTCTTATAGTTTCAAGATCAAACTTTTGGACAGCTTGTGGGTGGCGCTAGAAATTATTATTCATTTGAAATGTTTCTAGAGACTCGTAAAGAAAACGAAGCCTTTAAGAAATACAATAAGGGAGGTGGGTGTGGTTTGTTCCCATGACGACAACTTGTATAATCATGTGATGGTGTACTGTAGGCATGAAATTAAAGATAGCTGTGATTGATCTGTCAACTGGTGATGTGGCACCAGCTGAACCAATAAGAGCAGAACAAGGTTGGACTGTTGGAGAATTAAAGCAATATATAGGAGAAGTAGGGACACAAGCAACCATATTTTTAAAATTCTTTTTACTCTTTTATTCTTCTTAGATATTCAATCTTGATCCTTCATGTATGAGGCTGGTCCTTGAGGTGTATAATGATGGTAGACATTTACCAAATGATGCTAGTTCACTAAAAGGAGAAGGACTCTACAGGAAACACACAGTAAGACTTATTACTATTATTTTAATGTTTAAAATATGTACATGTACATTTACTTCTTCATTCTCTCTTGTAGCTATTTGCTGCCTCTGATTCTGAAGATTATGAGAGACAATACAAAGAGAGTGTCATGTACAGACACGTTGAAGCTCACGTCAACTCAATACTACTAAACATTACAATACCTCCTCTACAAGAATCCCCACCAGCCCTTCAGCCTGAAGCCCCTCCCAATCGACCTTCGACTCCGCCCCCTAGCAACCAAGCTGGAGGAGAAGATGATAATAGAGCAGAAGATGAAGTCCCCGAATTAGTGTCTAGTAGAGAAGGAGCTGGTAAGAAGAGGCACTTCAGTGATGATGGAGTTAATGGGGACAGGGAGGATCAGACAGGAGAGAAAAAGAGAGAACGGAATGACGATGGAACAACCGAAAATAACGAAGGAGTGGATAGCGGAGATGCTGGCAATAATGTGGGCGAGACTAATAATGATGTGGGTGGGGCTACTAATGATGTGGGCGGGGCTACTAATGGCATGGGCGGGGCATCCAAAGATGACGTAGGTCCTGAGGAGATAATGAATGATCAGAAATCAAAAGATAACAAAGAGAAAGAGGAGGAGGAGGGGAAGAGTAAACCTTCAAGCAGTGTGGAAGGAAGGAAAGGAGGAGGAGGAGGAGGGGTTTTAAAGGTAGTGTCCTTATCAAAGAATGAAGAAGAGAAAGGAAAGAAAAGAGGTAAATACATGTATGTACATTGGCCGCAAAAAATACATTTTATGTACCCCAAACACCAATGTGTTATAATTCTGATGGGCAAATGAAAAATTTGTAATTTTTTGGTCTTCAGTTTTTTGCCTTGCCTTAAGTTGTTCAAATTAAATTTTGAAGTAACTTTTTGTACATGTGCATCTTAGTTGTTAATGGGTGATTATGAATGTCAATATTTATTATCAGATATACAGATAAGAGTTGATAGGAGAACCACATTAGCTCAATTGAAGGAGAAGCTAGTTCCACTGATTAACGTACCACCTACTGGTTTTAAAGTGTATAGGGTGTATAATAACCAGCAAGAATATGAAATGGAAAGATTAACTGACTCATTAATGGCAATACCTTCAGAATCAAGAGTAATTATTTAATCCTACTTCACTTGATCATGACCTTTTCTCTTCCTTATAGTTTGTAGTAAGACTGGGTAGGGCATTACAAGTAGGAGAGTGCAGGATTAAAGTATTTTTATTACACATTAACAATACAGAGGTCAGGCAATAGCAATTTTACTATTGTAGTTAAGTTTGATTTTTAGTTCTTTAATCTGATGATGGAGTCTATTGTTGCTAAGAATACACCAGTGAGAGAATTTAAGAAACAAATTATTGAAGAAGCAAAAGTACAAGGAATTGACTGTGTCCTTGAATTAGACAAGTAAGTACATTATGCGACTATTATGGGACAATCACATGACTTATTGTGTAGAATGAGATTACGCAAAAAGACTTGGAGGTCACCTGGTACAGTGTATCTTGATCATCAGTTGATTGATAAAGATATTCATGTATATGCTGGTAGTGAAATGTATGTGGAACCATTGAAAGGTCAGTATTTAAATTAAAAATAATGAGGGTATTATTTGGTATTTATACTTTGATAGAACCTGAAAAGATGAAGCTCCCAACACAGATGCAGGTGTATGTTAGAAGATGGCGTCCATCAGAATATTCAGTTGATCCAACAGAAGAAGTTATACTGGACACAGCTAGTCCCTTAGATCTTAAAAAGAAGGTGAATGTATAATAAAATGTTGTTATGTGACTCTTTCCTTTAGCTTTCAGAGTTAAGTGAAGTTCCTGTTGATGCCATTTCTGTTGCAAAGGTAAGCCATTAATGTTTTACTATCAGTGAGCCATTTCTCCTTTTAAAGGGTGTGGGATCATTTCCAGCTGAGATATCATGTCTTGATATTGAGAATGAGTTGGAATGGAATCCAGCCATTCAATCAATCAGTCAAACACCATTTTCATTGTATGATGATGGAGGTGTCATTTATTACAAGTACAGTATAACTAATCATACATTTTATAATAATGTACTATTATTTTTAGAGACAATAGAGAAAAAATGAAAGAGATCACAGCTGAAGAGAGAGCAGAAATAGAAAAGACAGAAAACAAAAGGTCTGGTTGAATTTTCTCCATCTACACGTGCATCTACATTACAACATGACATACCCAGTTACATTTGATCCCCTGCCTATAGTCCTGTACATTTAACTTGCATATTGTTTGCTAGTAATCATGTTTTCCAGAAAAATCCAGATCAAATATTTTATGTAATTATTAAGACCAGTAACCCAGTTGGTCTTATATGGCTTCATGTGTATGTTCACACTTTAGGGTCAATAGTGTTGGTGTATATGGTACTGGCTCATCATCATCAAGTGGTCATTCAAGCTACAGCTACTATAGGAAAGAGAGAGCACTTAAGATTTATACTGATGATGACACTCCAAGAGACAAAGAGGACTGAGTGCATTTAGTGGAAATGTGTTTGTGTGGCTTGTTGTAGGCTGTCTCCCCTCTTCAGCTATTAATAATTATTTATTATTTAATGGTGGTTTACATTGTCTTTTAGAGTGTTATTTTTCTTAGTAGTTTTATTATTATTATTATTATTATTATCGTGTTCTTGTATAATGATAAACTATTTTATGCGTCTTTAAATTGATTTAATACTATTGTTTATATTATTATTATTATTATTGTTCATGATAACTTAGATTAAATTGCCTGCTAAAACAAAACCATAGATAGTTGCAACATTAGCAGCAGCCATATATTTTATAAGTAAAATGAAATCAAGTCCATCCATTGCACCATAGATACTACTACATTGCACAATAGTGCACGTGACAAAGTTTTGAAAGGTGTGGCTTGGCATCTAGCATATATGCATATCCTGCGCATGTAAATGCATAATAATCAACCCATGGATCTATGATCAACCTATGAGAGGGAAGCGTAGGAACTGACAAAACATAAACTAGACGATGTTGCTGCAGTATCGTGGCTCTGCTGCTAAGAGAAATTTCCTCTTAATTGTGCTTGTGGTCTGTTTGAATTTCATTTATATCAAAGGTAAAGTGATTACATATATATAGACGGGCACGAGTCCTTGGCTAAACTGCTTGTGATTGTACTGTGCTAGCCTTGTTCAATAGGCACTTTATTCATGTTTTTTATAAATAGGTTTTTATGGTCAATCATGTACCTGTAGCTAGAAACTTTTGAGGGATTAAACTTTCGCAATTCCACCCAAAATCTAAAATCATTTTTGTGGATTTAATTTTTGTAAATCAAACCATTCCATGATCTTATACTGTATTTTTAGACTTTCACGGATTTTAATTTTTCGCAAATCTGACAAAATCCCAAAAAACTGAAAGTTTTTGGCCTCAAAAGTTTCCAGCTATACAGTATGTACACCTATCAGTAGCTACGCATCTTTAATTAGCTTTAACCATCATGGAAATGATTTATTTTGATGTGTAGTGTGTGTGCTATCTTTTGTGTCATCATGATTTTAGTTCAAAGTTGATGCTATGTCATTTCCCATGCCAAACATGCATTCTGACATTCACATTCATGGATACGTGATGTCATTTCCCATACAAAGTCTACTTATGTCTCAGTGATATCATAATTTACATAAGTGGATATGACAAAGGTTAAGCAATAGTACTAATTGATTTTTATTAGCAAAGCCAAAAGCAAAGCTAAAGTGATATACTGATTATAGTCTTTAGTCTATTAAATAGCATCAAATGCTATCATTGTTAAAAATCTTCCAGTTTACTACACATGTATTTACAGCTATGAAAGTACTAGATATATAAATAAAACTCTTTCTACAGCTAATTGTGGATCATCAATATTCAATTCGTCTTGTTGGAGGGTCCTATTATTGGGAAGGACGTGTTGAAGTATGCATTAATAGATCATGGAGTACTGTCTGTGATGATTATTGAGACGTTCATGATGCTACAGTTGCACGCATGTGTTGTATTCATTTGGGACATAGTTTGAGCTGACTCTGATCAAAACTGGATTTTTTTTATAAATTTTTTAATTTATTTAAAAATCTGGCAAAAGATCATGTAGACCATGGTACTGGGTCATTGACCAAGTTTTGCCAAAAATGAAAAGAAGTAAATTCTCGATTTTTATATTTTTTGATCCATGTACCTATGTTGTATAAAAAGTTTTGAGCTAATTCCAATCAAAATTGAATTTTTAACAATTTTAAAAGTAGTTCCGTGCTAGTCAGCTCATGAAGCATCTCACTTAGCATGCTTTGTGGGAAACCCTGTACTACATATACCCACACCTTCAACCATACCTATCCCATTTGGTGTATGAAATTGTAGTATTACATATACACATGCAATACATGTATCATGTATACTATTAAAATAAAGATAACATTTAGCTTCTGGTACATCATATTATGTGCAAATTATGTTTACTCTACAATAGCAACTTGCACTATTGGATCAATTCGTCTTGTTGGAGGATCTACTGATTCGGAAGGACGTGTTGAAATATGCAGATATAATTACTACTTAAGTGGTAATATCTATGGTACTATCTGTGATGATTTATGGGACACTCGTGATGCTATGGTGGTATGTAGGCAGTTAGGATATACATCAGGTATAATTAATGTTTAAAAGATGGTGTTAAGCTAGTTGTTTAATTCAATTGACAAATTGGTGCCTTTGTGTTATGTGTATGCTTATTGGAATGACCTATCAGTATAATTACTTTATTATACAGGGACTGCATATAACAATTCGCATTTTGGACAAGGATCAGGAGTCATAGTAATGTCTAATGTCCAGTGTACTGGATCTGAATCATACCTTACTAGCTGCCCTCATACAATTAATCATAATTGTGATCACTCTAAAGATGCTGGAGTCAGTTGTGAAGGAGATAGTCAAGGTATGCACAGTAATATCCTGATCAATTAATCTCCTGCAGTTACATGTAACATGTATATAAACCTATACCTCTCTTATTATTTTGGGCGCAAAAACTAACATCAACTTTATTTTTGGCTCTGGTTCATTAGTAGGAGCTATTGTTGGAGGGGTAGTTGGTGGTATTGTTTTCCTAATCTGTGTATGTGCAGTGATTGTTATATGTGTATGTGTACTGCATTCCAAATCAAACCGCTCCAGAGCTAGAGCCAGGCAAGCAGCTCCTGCAGTTCAAATGAGATCAAGTCCAACACTAACCACTAGTACTGCAACTGGAGCTTATACACAATCACAATCCCAGTCTAAGGCAGAAAACCAACCTCCTCCTCCATCTTACTCAGATTATATGGAACAGCAGAAAGCCTATTCACAACAAACTGCACCAATGACTTATCCTGGTCATGCTGTACAAGGATATCCTCAACAGGATTATTCTCAAACTGGTTATCCCCAGCAAGTACCTTATCCACAGCAGCAGCAGCAAGAAGCACCAGTTGGGTATCCACAGCAGGAGCCACAAGGATATGGAGGAACAAACCCTAGTACTGATGAGTCTACTGGCATTCGTGATGAACCACCACCTCCTTATTGAGCTCATTGATGTTATATGTTTTATATTTTTGTACTATTTAGTATGTGCTCCTATTTCAATAGTCAACATTTATTTTATTTTCTGTCAAAATAGTTTAATGCAAATTCTATATAAAATTAATTATACCTTAAGGTTACTTTAAATGCGGGTACTATTAATTGCTAATTTTGTGTTTGGGTTTAAAATTGCAATTATTGATACACGCATGTTATTAATAATGACATCATGATGCCATATAACTATTAGTAATAATTACTTAATCGCAATTTTTAATATGACTGATGATGACACTCCAAAAGACAAAGAGGACTGAGTGCATTTAGTGGAAATGTGTGTTTGTGTGGCTTGTAGGCTGTCTCCCCTCTTCAGCTATTAATAATTATTTATTATTTAATGGTGGTTTACATTGTCTTTTAGAATGTTATTTTGCTTAGTAGTTTTATTATTGTTATTATTATTATTATTATCGTGTTCTTGTATAATGATAAACTATTTTATGCGTCTTTAAGCTGATTTAATACTATTGTTTATATTATTATTATTATTATTATTATTGTTCATGATAACTTGAATTAAATTGCATGCTATAACAAAACCATAGATAGTTGCAACATTAGCAGTAGCCATGGATTTTGTAAGTACATGTAAAATGAAACTATGAAAGCTCCATTATATACAAACACTATCATTGCACAATGGTGCACGTGACAAAGTTATGAAAGGTGTGGCTTGGCAAGCCAGTATAGTAGTATAGTATGAGGGGGAAGCGTAGGAACTGACAAACCATAAACCAGACGATGTTGCTGCAGTATCGTGGCTCTCCTGCTGAGAGAAATGTCCTCTTAATTATACTCGTGGTCTGTTTGAATTTCATTTATATCAAAGGTAAAGTGATTATAGATGGGCACGAATCTAATATGCTGTATAACCTTGCTGTGTCCTTGGTTAAAGATTATGCTGTGCTAGCCTTGTTCAATAGTAAGGCACTTTATTCATTTTTTTATAAATAGGATTTTATGATCAATCATGTACCTATAGCCAGAAACTTTTGAGGGATTAAACTTTCGCGATTTCACCCCAAAAATCATTTTCGTGGATTTAATTTTCTCAAATCAAAAGCATTCCGCCACCTTATACCGTATTATTTAGATTTTTTTATGGATTTTAATTTTGTAAATCTGACAAAACCCCTAAAACAGCGAAATTTATTGGTGTTAAAAGTTTCCAGCTATATGGTATGTACACCCATCAGTAGCTATGCATTCTGTTTCAGCTTCAACCATGAAGAGAAGAATTGTGTTTGATGTGTTGTCATGTGTGTATGTGTGCTATCTTTTGTGTCATCATGTCATGTGATTTGGTTCAAAGTTGATGCTGTGTCATTTCCCATACCAAGCATACTTCTGACATTTATATTCATGAATATGACAAAGGTTAATTTGCAAGAGTACATAAGTGACTATTCACTACAGAATTCCCCATCCTCTCCTAAAATTTGGCAGGCTCACTATTATATCATGCATGTACATGTGCACTATTGTACTTTTATTAAAACAAGCACATACAGTATTGTACATGCATAGCATAATACATGCACCCACTCTACAACTTTTAATTATAATACTTTAATTGATACTGGAATGATTACTTCCCACCGCAAATGTTATACCTCATTGACATTGCTGCTAATCATTGACATTGCTGCTAACCATTGACATTGCTGCTAATAAATCAATTTTATATAAATGATCTTACTTTAATCGGTAGGTCAATGTAGTCAGGGTTCACTTCGTCTTGTCAATGGTGCTAGATATCATGAAGGTCGCCTTGAGATATGCTATGCTAGTAGCTGGGGAACAGTCTGTGATGATGGCTGGTCTAATGCTAATGCTCAAGTTGTATGCAGACAACTTGGATACCCTACTACCGGTAAGCCGGGAGCTACATTTATGAATTTTATAATTTAAATTTCAATGTAAAAACAATACTAGCCAATGTGTTAAAAAGGTCAAAACCTCTATCATGCATGCATTTTTTACATAACTATTTTATAATGCAGTAAGTAAATTTTGTCATATAGAATGAATACACATTACAGTTTCATTAGCTGGAAAGACATTTCTGAATAAATAAGCTATACATTTTGTAGTTGAATCACATAGACGAAGTACTTACCACTTAGTGACATGTGTCAGATGCTAATAATAGCTTGTTGTGATTAGATGCTAAAAGAATTGAATGAGAGTTTACTAACATGAATGAAATTAATGACAATCAAATCAATCCTTCAAAGCATCACGTTTTATAAATATAATTTCATTTTCTAATTTTATAGGTGCTTATTATCGTGATCGAGCCTACTTTGGACAAGGGACTGGTAGTATAGTATTAGATGATGTTAGTTGTGTTGGCAATGAAACATCTTTATACCAGCAATGCAGTCATAGATCTCCTCTGTCAAACGATTGTACTCATAGTGAAGATGTTGGAGTGGTTTGTCCTGGTATGCATAAATCATGATAGCACTGTTAATTATATCATTTCGTTTTATTTATTTATTTCAGCACCATTTGATGGCTCGGTTCGTCTTGTTGGAGGATCCAACAGTTCCGAAGGACGTGTTGAAGTATACCGTAGTGGATCATGGGGTACTGTCTGTGATGATTTATGGGACTATAGGGATGCCACTGTTGTATGTAGACAGTTAGGATATGGATCAGGTATTAATATTACAGCCTCGCATATTACAAATGCATTAAGCGTTACAATCTTTTATATTAGGGACTGCACTTACTGATGCTTATTTTGGACAAGGAACAGGAGGCATATTCATGGATGATGTTGCTTGTACTGGATATGAATTATTCCTTACCAACTGCTCTCATACAACTTCTCATAATTGTGGTCACCATGAGGATGCTGGAGTTAGATGTTCACATAGTAAGGATTATAGATTCAGTTATGATCTACATGTGTATGTACTTGAATTTTTGATTTTTTACAGCTTGCTTTAGTGGATCGGTTCGTCTTGTTGGAGGATCTAACAGTTTTGAAGGACGTGTTGAAGTATGCAGTAGTGGATCATGGGGTACTGTCTGTGATGATTCATGGGACTATAGGGATGCCACTGTTGTATGTAGACAGTTAGGATTAGGACAAGCATCAGGTATTACATGTATATAACATTTCAGTCCTTTTATAGTAAGGGTTTCCCACAGAATTTCAACATAATGCTAATTTTTGAGCAACTTTAAAAATCTACATACATGTAGGAATTTTTTAAGTTGCTCAAAAAATTTGACAAAATATTTGCCACTGGCATTTTGTCGAGTTAGAATAATAGTCCTATTGGCATAGACTTGTTATTATGTTGTGTAGAAAGTCCAATCAGAAATTAATAATTTTAAAAGTCCGGCCAAATTCACCAGAATCGAAAAAGAGAGAATTCTCAATTTTTTATAATTTTTTCCGATACATATATATGTTCTTATCATGTTATGTAAAAAGTTTGAGCTGATTCCAATCAAATTTGGATTCATTATGTATTTTTAAAGTTGCTCCATATTCTCTCTTAACATGCTTTGTGGGAAACCCAGTTTGTAATGTGTGCATAATAATAATAATAATTATAGTATTTAATAAATAACACTATTTTAGGGACTGCATTTAGTGAAGCATATTTTGGACAAGGAACAGGAAGCATATTAATGGATGATGTTGCTTGTACTGGATCTGAATCATACCTTACTAGCTGCTCTCATAGAACTAATCATAATTGTGGTCACTCTGAGGATGCTGGAGTTAGATGCTCACAGAGTAAGGACTATATGTTGCTGTTCATTTACGTACTACTTACATTGTCATTTCTTATTAATTTTTCATGATTTTACAGATTGCTTCACCAATGGAGAAGTTCGTCTTGTTGGAGGATCTAACAGTTTTGAAGGACGTGTTGAAGTATGTAGAAATGGATCATGGGGTACTGTCTGTGATAATTCATGGGACTATAGGGATGCTACTGTTGTATGTAGACAGTTAGGACTTGGATCATCAGGTAATAATCACAAATCACAACTTCTTTAAAGTCGAATTATTTGCTTGTAGTTTTTGATGGTTTATTAATAAATTCTATTATTTAGGGATTGCATTTAGTAATGCATATTTTGGACAAGGAACAGGAAGCATAGTAATGAGTAATGTTGGTTGTTTTGGATCTGAATCAACTCTTACTAGCTGCTATCATACAACTAATCATAATTGTGGTCATTATGAGGATGCTGGAGTTAGATGCTCATACAGTAAGGATTATACTGGTAGCTTTGATACTTAAATTTTTTGCAGTTTGTATTGATGGCTCAGTTCGTCTTGTTGGTGGATCCAGCAGCTTAGAAGGACGTGTTGAAGTATGCAGAAATGAATCATGGGGTACTGTCTGTGATGATGCATGGGGTACTAATGATGCTACTGTTGTATGTAGACAGTTAGGATATAGTGTTACAGGTACATGTGCAATGTATTATTGAGTTAGAGGCAATTCACAGCAAATAAAATGCATGCCTTTGTGTATAATAATACTATTTGATTCAAGTCCACATGCAATTATGCATACATACTGGAATAAATACCGTATAGCAGGAAATTTTGGATGGACTAAAATTTGGTGAATTGCTAAATTTTGGAGATTGGTGAATTTGTAGCTACATGCCCATGAAAATGTGTATAATGACTTAAAATGGCAGATTTTTCTATTTTGGCGAGTGGCTATCAAAATGCCAAATTTGCTAAAATTAATTTCTACCAAAATTTCCCACTGTACGGTATTTAATAAATTTTTTGCATTATAATTTATACAGGGACCGCATATGGTAATGCATATTTTGGACAAGGAACAGGAAGCATATTAATGGATAATGTTGCTTGTACTGGGTCTGAATCATACCTTACTAACTGTTCTCATATAACTAATCATAATTGTCGTCACTCTGAGGATGCTGGAGTCAGTTGTGCAGGTACGCAATAATAAATAATGTATGCACATATAGCATGTACATAATAATTATGATTCATTTATGAAAAGCTTTTTGACCTCCTGTGATCATGTACTTTATTATTCATTGCAGGCTCTAGTAGTGTCAATGCTGGTGCATTAGCAGGAGTTATTGTTGGAGGGATATTTGGTGGTATTATTTTCCTAATTTTTGTAATTGCAGTGATTGCTGTATGTGTAGTGGCATTAAATTCCAAATCAAATCGCTCCAGAGCTAGAGCCAGGCAAGCAGCTCCTGCAGTTCAAATGACAACAATTCCAGCACAAACTACTAGTACTGCAACTGGAGCTTATACACAATCCCAGCCTAAGGCAGAAAATCAACCTCCTCCATCTTACTCAGATTATATGAAACAACAAACACAACCGACTGCACCAATGGCTCATCCTGGTTATGCTGCACCAGCAGGCTACCCTACACAAGGATATGGTTATCCTGTCCAGGGCTATCCTCCACAAGGCTATGGTTATCCTCCACAAGGTTATCCAGCTCAAGGTTATCCAGCTCAAGGTTATCCAGCTCAAGGTTATCCTGCACCTCCTCCACAGCAGCAGGGTTTTGCTGTACAAGGATATCCTCAACAGGATTATTCTCAAACTGGTTATCCCCAGCAAGCACCTTATCCACAGCAGCAGCAAGAAGCACCACTTGGGTACCCACAGCAGGAACCACAAGGATATGGAGGAACAAACCCTGGTACTGATGAGTCTACTGGCATTCGTGATGAACCACCACCTCCTTATTGAGCTCATTGATGTATTACATTTTGCATTTTATATTTGTCAGTAGATCTAGTGTGTTCTTTTATTCAGTATCAGTTTTGTATTAAATACATATTTATATACTTTTGCAGTAAAAATGTATTTGAGATTTAGATCATACTGATGGGTGGTGATAACACTCTAACAGACAGAGGATTGTGGCTTGGCAAAGTAAGCCATCAATTGGCAAGCCAGATTTATGTTACTGTACTCTACTGCTAAGAAACATTTCCTTTTAATTGTACTTCTGGTCTGTTTGAATTTCATTTATATTAAAGGTAAAGTGATACTCTAATCTTTGAGGCAGGTCTTCATGCAGTTTAAGCATAAACACTTTACTGTGGTTCAACTTCAAGCTTATGATTGTACTGTAGTACTTGGTCTCAAGCCAAATGTTGTCAAAACTGAAGGAGAAATCATTTTTATTTCTTTTCTTCTGTTGCATAGGAAGTTGGATAGAATTTGAATTTTTACATCTTTTAAAGCTGTTAAAAATTGTCTTCCAAATTTAAAAATTTTGAGCTGATTCGGATCAAAATTTAAATTTTTAAAGCTCTCAGGCCAAAGTCCTTATACTATAGTGTGCCAAATTTTGCCAAAAATGGCTAGGAGATGAGTCAGTGTTTTTATAATTTATTTCTGATCGTATAAATGTTTTTATGTTTCTAGAAAGTTTAAGCAGATTTTGATCAAAATTGGATTTTTAAACAAATTTTAAAGTCCAAGTGTTGCATTGTGGTGCTTGTCAGCTCATGGGGCATGCTGTTTAGCTTACTTATAATGCATTGTGGCTGGGAAACCCTCCAATTGATGTTTGTACATTTTTATGGTCAGTCTATCAATAGATAAAAGTCCTTGTAGTACTTAAAGGTACATGCATATGTGTGCATTACTTTTAATGTATTGTTATGTGATGTTGTTGCTGTATATCTACATATGTCATGTCATCCTATATCAATCATGAGTGAGGTCAAATTGCATTCATGAATGTGGCAAGTGTGAAATTACAGAAGTACATATGTAACCTTTTTATCATTGACAACAATAACATCTCCACCTTGAATTGTTATGCCTCAAAATTATTGCTAACCAATTCCATATTAATGATCTTACTTCAATTGGTAGGTCAATGTAGTCAGGATGCACTTTGTCTTGTCAATGGTGCTTCATATCATGAAGGTCGCCTTGAGATATGCTATGGTAATAGCTGGGGAGCAGTCTGTGATGATGGCTGGTCTAATGCTAATGCTCAAGTTGTATGCAGACAGCTTGGATACCCTACTACTGGTAAGCTGGGGGGCTATAACATAAATTTTAATGACAATACGCTA